AGTTCTTGATCTATAATGTGAGACCCTGTTCTAGTCAAAAGTATGTGAGATGACATGGACCCATTAAAGTTCTTTCTTGCTGAAAAGTATTCTGGACATTGTGAAAGAACTAGGCCATCTCACTTAAAATTTTGCGCGTTGACAGTTCGACTGTCTTGCTCTATCTTTTCTACTGGCTGCCCTTCTTCCGGGGTCTGAATGCAGTTTTCTGTTTGCCAGGCAGGAGGCAGAGAACTTGGAACAAAGAAATAACTTGATGAGAGAGAGAAATGATTAACTGGAGGGAGACATAAGGTGCTATCAATTTGTAAGGTCGGCAAGCTGTTATTCAAAAACAGAATAGTTATTACAGTGTTATCGAGCAAAATTTGTTTTAGCACGCAGCTTCCCACTTGTATGCGGCAAATTGTCTCTCGATTACCTGGAAAAGCCTTGTGGGAACTTTGATGGTTCATATTTGTCATTATCCTTCGATGGCGCAGTGGTGCAGTGTACATAAGCATGCACAGCTACGAGATATATCTAGTCACTTCTCTTTGAGAGGAGAACGGGAGAGCTTCAAAATGAGTGAAAAGAGCAGACGACGGAACAGTGAATACTTACCTTCCGTAGGAACCTGATTTTTCCGAATGTTGTGGCGTTTCCCATTAAATCTCTTATGCAGGCTGTATACGTGTTTAAGTCTGAATATCCTTTTGAGTTGCTCCAAATCCAGAGGCATATTGCCAAATCGACACCACGAGTAGGCAAAACAATTTCAGCGAGATAAGCCTGCAACAACACTCGTCTGCGAACAGATTAACCAGTGTGAATGTGTATCAAATTGAGCCACACCGCATGCCAATTCTCCGGAAAGTGCGATCCGAACATGAAATTTTGAGCGTTATGTCTGTTGAACAATAAGGGAAAACGGACGCAGTCGTGTAAGTCTCTTGAGTAAAAACGCTCTAATGATCAAGCATCTGGAAAAGTGGGGCATGCTTCTGTTCAGGCGCCAAACAGAAATAGTGCTGACGATAAGCTTGAGACGACAGTTTAATGGTACCGCACGGGATGAATGAAACTAGCTATTCTGTTTATCATGTCGATGAATAGGGCTGGAGTATAAATTTGAGGCATGGGGGAAAAACAATGGAAATTTACCCAGTTTTGGGACTACGCCTTGTGCTCAATAATTTCCTCAGGAGTGGGATGTTAGTGAACAAGTCTTACTAGAGTGTAAATTAGCATCAATCTCATTGATGCTTGTTCTCCAGAGGTTTTTAGATGGACTACTTCATTCAGTCAACGACCTAACCTTTCGTTTTCTTCAGGGGCCTGGTTTATTCTGTTGATATAGGTGTGCCCCTCAATTTATTTTGTTAATATTGCAGAGTAATGATGCGATGGCTTTAGCAATGGAAGAACCGGGAGTTCTATGATTATTTCGAGCAATGCTCTCCTGGAGCCCTCTTTGACTTACTGTTGTCGAAAGACAGGTAAGACAGGTATGCTACTGACATGTAGTGCTCCGTTGTCCGTTCCGTGGAAGCTATTTGGTATGCGGAACTCATAGTCAGCGAAACCTAGAAAAGGCCGAATATGTTTGTAAAAACAGTTCTTGAATAAAAAGAGATGTGTCTGTTCTTTCTGTGCCTTCATATAGACTTAAGCAAAGAGCCCCTTAGTGGGCAAACGGCCAAGGCGGGGTGGCGACAAGTGGTTGGCCAAGTATGTGCCGTTTTGAAGATAAAACCCCAAATCGCCCCTGTTCATACCAACTGACCATTCTCCTCTCCAAGTAGGGTGAACAGCTCGTCTGGGTGAGGACAGCGGTTGCTTCATCAGCTGACCCGTAACTGATTGTATGGGCCATATCTCAACAAATAAGAGGCCATTGATCGGAAGCAATATGCGTGCCGCCCTCCAAACAAGATTCGCATGACTGTCCATCCAATTGAATCACAGGCTCTAGCATGTATTCATACTCGCACTGCGACTGTAAGTTTCGGGAAACTCGCGTGCACGTTGCACAACTATTCCCTTTTACCCGTTGAACTGTGTCAGCAATGCATTCAATCATTCCTGCAACGTGTAAGTGTTGTCTAAAGACGCATGAATTCCCTGAGCGTCTCCTTCCTAGCGGAAGGTTCATACACTACAGCTTTTATTGTACAGGTGAATGTCTATGGCGATGACATTGGCGACATGTTCATTAGGTTTAGGAAGAGTCTATAATTCGCATGTCAGCGCAAAGGGGACGGCGGAGTCCAAGAAGGGAGCACCGTCTTCTAATGGTACTCCTGAATGCTTTGCAGGGTTTGCTTTTCCTCCTACTATCTTCTTTTTTGGGCTTTCCATCTTGACGGACTTGCTACTTATATACATGCAGCTGTAGCAGTTCCGTTGAAGGACTGCCACACGGATTGGGTAATCACCACGTTGGCTGGGTATTCAGTGATGCAAGCTTCGAGTTATGTTGGATGGCTGTCACTTTACATTACATGCTTTGCCATTTCACTCCATTCCATGGCATTCACGAGGGAGCGCTGATTTTCATGCAGGACTGTGACCTGGCTGAACACACAAGGTCAATTATGGCTTTCCTTCAGAGAAAGGAAGATTCTGGAAGCGATACTGTTGAAAAACTAAGGAAGATCCTTTACGTAGAGACGAGCGGATCTTGCACAAACTGGTAGCTCAGGGCGCACATCACCGCTTCTGTCTGCAACATCGCAGATGTATTCTTTCAGACAAACTACTTCCTTATCGGTGAGCTCTCTCTCGGACACCTGTCATAGCCATATTAGCTTTCATTCATTTGACCAGCCTGCTTTGCCTTCTATATTCTGTCCGGCTTTTCCTAAGTTGTTCTCGTGACTCTCTAACGTGGTACTGTTGGTTTCGCTCGTAATCACTTTTAAGCAACCCATCAGTCTGACGAGCGCTGGTACACGTATGTAGTATGCAAGCATATACCAAGTCTGATGGTACTCTTCAAGCAAGTGTCGGCGTCGATGGCCAACACTCCCACGCCGCAGTGACCTCGTGGGGGTCAAGGAAGTCAAGGAAAACAGAGATGATGAGAAAACAAAATTAGCATAGAAAGAACTCATGCCTAATTTAATATCGATAACTAACTAAATATTCTTTAAGTCATACCTGTAAGAAATTTCCGCGCCCATTCCGTGTTCTTCACCAAGTAGGAGCCAGCCGCCAATTCCCAGTTGAAAAAACGCTCGTAGAATGTGATTTCTGCTTGTGGGTCGATGAACTCCTCAATTCTTCTGAATCAGCCACTATTTCAATCCGATTAAATAGATAGAGCTGTATATCTGTTCGTGCGTGTAGCTCTTTCTACCCTAATACAGGCGATATTTGACGGTTAGGTAAGGCCAGATCATAGTTCGCAAAGTCGCGCGTTACAGCGCCGCCATGCGCTGTAATGCGCTTCAATTACAGGCGCGCTCCATCTCTACAGTACACAGTTGCTTCCCTTCGAGTTTTCACGCCTTTTTCTTTGTTTTCCATTTGTGCTTCAACTTGAACTTTCTACTTCCGATCTTGACATTAAATCCTGAACTAGTTATCTATAGTGGATGCTGAGATAATGGTACTGGATACTGTTTTTGACGTTCTGCTGACGGCCCAGCATGAAGACAAACGCCAAACGTATTTTCTTCAACAGATTTTGTAGCGCGAAGGTAGTGGAAGTTTTGGCAGTTTCTTGAGTGATATATCCCGGTATCTATTGCCATTTACTCAATGTTGTAGTCATAGTGCTCTGAATACATGTGGGGCAGCGAGGACTGCAATGGTGCTTGACACTCTTTTTGACTACGACTCTCAGTTTCAGGGTTGTTATTCGTGGTTGATTATCACGATAGTTCCTAACATTTCAGTCATAAGCGATGTCAGCCGAGCCGTATGATCGCGCTTTGGGTTGCCGCGCTTTACTAATAGTGATCGGGTAAAGATGGCCGCAGATTGAGACTGCTGATTGCGACCCGACTGATTCAGGGATATCAACTGTATGTTGTATTTCGTGAAATGTAATGAGAGCAATTTCGGACACAGTTCTGCGACGGGGGAAGGGGCATTTTGTGCTTTCGCTGCTTCAATAATTCCGATACTTAAGTCTCACTCTGGTGGACCCTGTGAACCCTTGTGGAGCTCTTGCACCTGTCATTTCCTGCGAGCTCAAGGAGTGGCTCTAGGTAGATTGGCACGTCGATGGGAAGTAGCAAAATTCAAAAATCCCCTTCGCCGAACTGCCCGCAATTCCCTAATCGGATAATTGAGAACAATATATGGTACCACGCATGAGACACACCAAATGCGAACAACTACATTGAGACTGAATGTGAAAGTCAAAAAGGGAAGCTTGAAATGGAGTGAAATGGAAAACAAGAAACCCTAAAATTACAAAGGGACTGGGTACTGGAGAATCGAGCGCGCTTATAATTGTAACGCACGAGCGAAGCCATATTGACGCTGCTTCTGGAAAGACTTTCTCTTTCCCGTGAGCAGTGTTGAAACTTACTTGAGAAGCATCCGAATTTTCAAGTGCGACGAGTTGAACAAGAGCCGCAACCCATGCTTTGACATGTGTTAGCTCGCAAAGAGTCTCACAGGCACAATGTACATAAGGAAAAAAATGATACTTCTTCAGAATAAGGAAAATTTCACTTCTTTAGGATTCACAACTCCATTCGGCAATCCAATGAAAAAGCACATAGTTCGAGCCTCCGTCGTTGTATCATTAACTTCGCAATAACGCAGTGACGTCGGAAGAACAACTGCAAGTCATATTGTGAAAGATGTTGCTGAGCAAAGATGAAGCTACCAGAAGCTACCATAATTAAAAATCGCCTCTCACGGGCTAGGTGATATTAATTCACATGATACCACAAGTCTTCAGTGTATGAATGAAAATTAATCGAGAGGAGCGGCTCGCTCTCCTCTTTAGTTTTTGTAGGTACGTGAGGGCGGCAATGTCCGGATAGGAGTGCTGCTAAGTCCTCCAGATCCTATGAGTTGATTGGTTCAAATCTTACCGATTTATGCTTGCTAATGAGCAGCACGCATGAGTCGAAGCGGGTGTTAGTGACAGTGCGCACACTTCCACAATGCCACGATCTGAGAGGTCATAGGAATCGGCTCTTGCCAAGATGATCGTAAAGGCGAAACCCTGCTCCCCGAGTAAGTAGATTGGCACCATATACGTCTGGGAAGACAAGAACCAAATTTCACATCGACGTATACAAGTCGCTGCATAGGTCACATCGCAATAAGCCACTACGATTCTGATGCGAAGTAGCATATGACCAACGCCACTATCTCAGAAAGACAGCGGACAGTCAACTTTAAACTTTTCATGAGGCGTTTTTAAGTCATTTCTTAAATCACTATGACTTTCAAAATTAAGTCAAAATTTTACAATTATGCTTCTTGCTGCTCATGCGCCGAAAAATCCGGCAGAGTGAACTTCATCCTTTTGCCAAATTTTCATAGTTATTATGAGCTACTATTCCAGCGCATGGAACTTGCGATACTTCCGTCCTTACCCTAGACCTGTGCATGACCTGGTGAACAGTCAGCACCAGTGTGATCTCAGGATACCTCAGTACTATTATGAGGCGCCCACGACTAAAGCAAAGGTATGCATGGTTTGGTTTTATTTTGAATGATGCAGGAACGTCAAAAGTTTTTCAATTAGAAAAACCTTCTCACCAAGATCAGAAGACAAAACTATCGTCATAAAAAAATATCTATGTCGTGAACGAAAAAGTAAAAGAGGCTTGGCGTGAAAAGCATGTGCTCCTTCTCTTCACTAGGCAATCTTCCCAGCAAACTATTTCAATCACATTTGGGTGGCTCTCGTCTAATTAAAGGCATTGGCCGATAAAATCCTTATACAGGTACCAGCATTTGTAAACGGAGCTTAATACTAAATCCGTGGCTCGGACGGGGCGCGTGGAAGCTTTCCCAAGGGGATACCTCTACAACGCTCTATAGGTACGCAACAACTTTACGTCCCAAACGCCTTCCTTGCCCGCCCGCCCACAAACGGACGACCGTTTCTGACGCTCGTATTCATTCATTTGCTGAGCAAATTATGAAGCAAAGGGATTGGTATGAAGCGGCCGTGATGCTGCATGCATATATGGGTACACATATGCAGCCGTATCTTCGGTAGCGGTGATTGGCAAGATGCGTACGGGAAACTCGTCCGAAATCGATTTACACACGGTCATGAGAAACGGGAGGTTTTCTTCGGCCGGATTTTGACCGTTTCACTCCGTTCTTTCGCCATTTCCCCACTATACAGCGCCCTACTAGCATTTTAGGCTAAGCAGGAAACCATCGTGCCAACTGCCCTTTAATGACATAGCTATTCACAGACGAGTATACTAACTGTCGCGCTCATAACAGCTACAATTTCAGTTTAAATTACTATAAATGAGACTCGCGATTCCTTTTCGAAAGCGATCATCCAAAATTTTCGCGGAAGCGATTATTTTGCCCTCGAGTGAATCGCCATCTCCACTACATTCTGCACGCAGGTACCTTCATGGGCAAGCTTCACGAGATTTTTTGAAGCGGCGATTCTACATGACGAAACTCAGGTAAGAAACTCAGTGAGGACTTTCGTCTCTTGAATTTCTGGAATGAAATCCGAGCTTCATATTGCTGTCAAACATCCATGTCCCGATATTAGTAATATTAATAGTAGAAAGCTGTCTACACTGCGATCCAGCCTGGAGTGTTTCTGTACCGTAACAGCTAAAGTCTTTGTAAAGTTTGACTTGGATCTTGAGCTGTTGTGGCTTTAGTGAATCTCAATATGGGTACGGATACAATACAATGCGGGTCGAAGCGTGGTTTAATTGGCCAACATCTTTTTATTCTCAGTGTGGCTCTAATTATTCTTGAAACTAGTCTTTGCATTAGTACACAGCACGGTCCAGTGCCAATAGATATGTCTGATCTGGGAATTTAACTGAAATGAGTCATTGGGATCCCTTAGCCTTTATTTTTCCTTTATTCTAACTTCTTGTTTCTTTATCGAATCTAATCTCAATGCTTGTGGTTCTCGCTTGTGGTTCTCACTTTCTTCCTACCAGTGAGTCATCTATTTCGTCTGTACAAATCGGCTCAAGCGTTCTAGCATGTTGTGTTACTTGAGTTTTTTTGCTGTTTGTCTCCTTAGCCCAAAGTCATATCTGCTGAAATAATATAAAAATAGACAGCTACTTTCACGTCTATATATGGCGACAACTGGTAGCGTATTCGCGTCTTGTATTGCATGAACGTGTAACTCTAATCTTCGCACTAACATACAACGGCTGGCTGGAGACGAGAGCGATGACTCGAACTTTCAGAGATACTCGCTAGGAACGGTCAGCTGGTTGACCTTAATGTCCGAGTCAGAGTATAGCGGTCTACACGATTTCCAAAACTACAATTCACTTGCTAAACTTGCGGAAACATTCACCGAACGGAGATATGGAGGTCTGCTACATCATTTCTGTCATGGGTACGTCACGACAGAAACGAACGACTATCGGATCAACTCTGGTAAAGACCGGCCCAAGCATCTCTATGCTGAATGCAATATGATACTCTTAATCGCAATGAAGCAAAAAGGAATGTAGGGAAGGACGCCACCTCAACGTTAGCGACTCCTGCGATGACCATATCAAATCCTCACACCACGTACGGTGATACAACACGCACGGTTACTGACGCTATAAGTTGTTCTTGTGCAGCTCGCACAGGCCTCCTGCGCATCTCTCAATTTCGTGGAAAGGAAGAGCGCACTCTTCGTGACAGCGGACCTGGCTACTAGTTGAACGGAGGCCTTTCTCGTCTCATTTTATTACCAGACGTGTCTTCTACAAGTAGTTCTTCCATTCAGATGGATTTGCCATCAGAAAAAGGGATTTTCCCAGCTGAAAGGTGAATCACCACCAACAAATCTCTCCCTCTCCCACGCCAACCATGTTATGAGACATTTCATGACTCTTTTCTATTTCGTCCTTAACACCTAGTACATGATAATATACAGCTGATAACGTCGCAATCATTGGGGCCTCAAAAGGGATGGAACGAGTTTATCTGCGCCGTCTCCACCGCTGATTGTTTTCGTCCTGAATTGATCACTAACAAGGGAGGTCGTTCAAGGATGGTGCGCTTTTCGAAAACGGTTTTTTGCATATTGTGGGGGGCTCATGCAAAGACCCGAAAAGTGTGCTTCATTTTCGCTGCGCGCTTCCAGGAAGTGTAAAACACGATGTTAAGAAGAAGAAATCTGTGGAATCTGCTCCGTTCTGGGACTCTGTGCGGCGTAGGTCACTTGCAACTTTGACCAGTTGCTGAGTGGGGGGTCCTTTAAAGGGGCCGTTTAGAAACGAGCGAAAAATCGCCGGTAAGTGAGCTTTCCAAACGTATGGCTGATCGTGCTGAGTCCAAGGACGTAACGGCTTCTCTGCACACGGTGTCAATTCAACGATAAGAGCCGCTATTCAATAGTCGAGACATCGCGATGCGACTAGCGGATTAGAGTGAATGTGTTCGCAATCAGACAGTGAGGGTGGGTTGATGGCTTCGGCTAACACTTTGCGGCAGTTGGCTGTTTTTGCCACTTTTTTAGCTTTCGCTAGTTGCTCGCTTCCATTATGTGCTGCGTCATGAATTATAACTCGAGATATTGCCGCACTATGGCACCTTCTGAGTAGCTGTACCCCATGAGTCAGTACTATTCAACTATTTCGATTTTCACGCACCATGGAGCAAGGTTGTTGCTGGACCTTGTTCCTCATAGGTTATACAGTGGATCTGATTGCGAATTTAGTAACTTCTGGTGTGGTGTCAATTACGGACAATTTGGGGCCACATCTTTCCACTGAATTCGTTATGTGCATCAATATAGGGAACGTTCAGCGCTATTCTGTTGGCAATTTGCGTGGACGCAAGTAATTAAGTGTTTATTTTGACCGAGGCCACCGATGTACACTGAAAACAACATAAGATTCATCAACGGTTGTTTTTGAACTTCTTGAATGTGCTGTATTGGTCTGTCTGGTTGTCCGTAGCGTCAACGATACTTCATCGCTGTTACGAAGATGTGTGACTCCGCTCACACTGCCGACCAAATGGTCGGCCACCTACAACCCGAAAAAGTCAAAAAAATTTTTCGCTCAAAACTTGCTCCTAGGGGTAATCGACAACGTTCCACGCATGACGTTAGACTTTATTTTTGGCTTCCCAGTGCCATTCAGACACGCGCATCAGTGATCGAAGAGCTTGAGCTCTATGCATCACTAACGAATTCGAACGAAAAAAGCAGTTATGATAAAGTAGATTGTCTTCATCGTGAATGTTTTTATTAGGACCAATTATTTAGACAAACATGGATCCAAAAAATGAAAAATTGTAGAAAAGCAAAATTTTGTCCTCGGTGGGATCCGAACCATCGACCTATTTTTTACGTTTTTTTTATTCGTAGAAGCGCGCAGCGAAAATGAACCTCAGTTTTCTGGTCCTCGTATGTGCCCCTACAATATGCACAAGACCATTTTGAAAAAGCTCACCACGCCCTGAAC